GTTTATCATAAAAGTGGACTTTTAAGGTAAAGTGGATCTTCGGTCCATGTTTTTGAAAACCAAAAAATGTATATTTTATTGCAAACTTTTAGGATTATCTTTCAAAAGATATAGAGCAAAGACCCACTCATAATTATTGAAAAATTTTGTTAAAGTATGAGAAAATGATCGTTTTTGTTCTTTGTATTGTGTGTATGCATTTTCATAGGCAAATGATTTCATTCTTTGTGATATTTTTCTGTAAATTGTAGAGGTTTTACGTTGAGTATACTTTAATGTTAGATGAAATATCAAATATTTTTTTGATTTTCATTGAGGATTTGCATTCATTTAGTTCTCACAATATGTAAGTATTATGCTTTTAAAAATATCTGAATTGATGTTCATTGTCTAGATACAAAAGAAGTTTGAAAAATAAATATTTCTCTCTCCCTTTGTTTTTATTTTTTGTCCAGTGAGTCTTTCAAATAAAAATTTGATAACAAATTATATTCTATACTGTAGAATTTGCAAAAATAACGTTTTAATTATTCTATACATTTCTTTATAGATTTTTTTGCTCTTTGTAGGTTTTTTGTGTCTCTTCTAACCGCATTTGAAATATATACAGCAATAGAAATCGAGAATACATTAAATATTAAAGTTACTAATGATAGTTGAGAATGCATGACAAACTAACGACCAGAAGTCTAGAATTGCAAACTAAACAAAAGTTACAACAACTGTCAAAATAATGTCAAATATTGAATAATGGTTTTTAAAAATGGACTTTATTTTAATAGTAGACATTATTTCAACATTGGGTTTTATTTCAATAATGGCTTTTATATCAATTGTAGTTGCGCCAATTGAGTAGCTTTGTATTAGAGAAGAAGCCACAAACACATAAAAAGGATGACAATCTAAACAATCCTTCGATGAAGAGTGTAGACAAGATTAGGATTGAATCTCTGAAAAGTTTAATTTTTGCAGCATATTTCAAAAGAAAATGAGGTTTAAAAGACAATAAGATTAAACTTGTATTCTCAGAATTTATTGATAAAAAACAACATTTTGAAAATTTGAAAAAAAGAAGCACTATTTCCAATTATTTTTTGTAAAAGTTCTGTATTCAGATAAGTCGGGCTCGTAATTGTTATACTATGACATAATTAAGATAACGAAACGGATGTGAGGCCAGAGGGATCCAGTTTCCTGAGCGCTTGCGCGTTGGCTCTGTTCTTCTTCAGGAAGGTCAAGGCTGTCACAACTGAGGTAACAAGGGCGGTAATCACGGCTAGAGTAGCTACGATGAAAGGGGCTTTCCCAATGCAGACCTCGCCATCGTCCTCTGGATCTAAAAATAAAATTATTCACAAACGTTCATTTTAATTTTTCCTTGAATGTAACACACGTGATGAATTGATAGTTTTGTCATTTTGCATGTCTTGAAGAATAACTTTCGGCAATTCTACATTTGTGAGCACATATATGTAATAAGAATTCACGCAGAAAGAATATTAAAAAAAAAATTATAAAAGAATGGAGGCGTACAAGGCGAGGACAATCCCCCGCTTTGAGAAAAGACATTTCTCAATTCTAAAAGTTGTATTTTTCATAATTTCATTGTTTATATCATCTTTTACACACTTAATTCTGTATTTCATTGTTTGAATATTTTATTTATAATTTATTTTTCACTCATGTTTTAAGATATGTGAAAACAAAACAGAAAAAAAAAATCTTCATGTATTATTCGAACTCTCTCCATATTGCAGGGTTTTGTCCAAGACCGACCGCTTTCACCACTACGTTACGAAGTGTATGCATTATCGACGTCTGTCAGTGTGATTTGAATGAATGAGTTTGTTGAAGCGTTTCCTTGCTCTATTTTGTATTGTTTAATGGACTTTTGAGTATGAATACTGTTCGTTATCTCTCTCTATATGTATGTATTTCATAGAAGTAATTGTTTTTTTTATAGTTGCAGTTGGAACTCGTTTTGATACTATCAATATTGGTGACGATTGTGAACCCCCAGGTTGTACCATTACAGCCCATTTTAAATTTTCCACCTTTCAAAGTCGTTGGAAGAACAACTGATTACAAATCTGAAGCTGGGATTAAATTCCAACACAAAAATTCTTACTTCTCAATATATGGAACAGGAAATAAAGACGGATATTTGAAAGCTAACATCAATTTGAAAGAAAATATGTAGATTTTTCAGCTTATGCCAAAAATTTGGATCTGGAGTAGAAGCCGGGGTCGGAGTAAAAGCAAATATCGGTGGCGGATCCAAGAAAAGGAAAGGAAGAAGACGATCCTGGTGGGGAAGGGTCTTCAGAGGTTAATATTTCTGATAATAATTTTAATTATATTTTGTTGACTAGATGAGATTGATTTAATCTTATAATTGTTTGAATATTTGTAAAATAAATTCTATTCATAACGATTTTTATTGTTTTGTGTCAATGACAGGTACAGTTCTGATACAAAAATACATGTTGAAAAATGGCAAATTGAAAATCTTGCAAAAAAAATCGTGATTCTTGGAAAAAATGAATCTTTTGTCCTTGGCCGAATTACAATATATTACTCCTTAAATGTTGTTTTTCTTAATTAAAATAAATTCTCTAGCCAGGAACGAACCTAAAAGCCTGGCTAATAAGTCAAACACACTAACCACTAAGCTAGTCAAGATAGGAATATGTATTCAGACAACCTAAAGTTAGCTGCAAAATTTTATTGCAAAGTTAAGGTTTTACAGCAAGGGACACGTCAGTACAAAAATGATATAAAAAGAAGCATTGCAGCGCTAAGTGAGACTGTTTCTTGATATGAGATGAGGACTGAAATATATACAATTTCTAATTAAGTCCGAGATTTATTGATATTATAAGCGTGTTAAATTTTTTTTTAGGTTTTATTCAACAAAACATCAAAGAAAGCGAGATAAATGCATTTAGAAAGTTCTATCTTTTCTGAGATTGACTAGTGATGGTAAAAATAAGAAATTAATCCTCTTTTTTTTCACAAACACTCAAAATGAGTAATTGCATTTATAATACATGTACCACGAAATTATCACCCCAAATCGTACTTTGGTACAGAATTATAACTTTTTTTTACCTTTTAAATTATTAACTTTTCTGTATCTTTCTGAATTTGCATTTTAATTTTCTCATTGGAATATCATTGAAATATTTCACATTTGAAGTAATACAACACATGTGTATTATAATCAAAATTCGCTCTAAGATCTCAACTGTCTGCATTAATAATGAAAAACATATTCAATGTATTGTAAATCGCATTTATGGGGGTCAAATTTTCGAGGTTTGAGGAAAAAATATTGCTTAGTAGAGATTTTATTCCATGATCGGAAAATATCTTGTAGTTCTGAATACAAAATTTTACATTTCGTGGCAATCAAAATTTTCTGCGTCTTTCTGTGAAACATATGGCGATAACAAAAGGTATTCCAGATCAAAAGTCCACAAACAATACAAAAATAGGCCAGGTGCAGAGCAAACACGGACCTCCAAAACATTAAAGGTCTAGGATATCGGGTGTCATGGAGGAGTAAGCATCCCCTGCTGACCAGTCACAACCGCTCCCTGTCATGATCGGTAAATAACTCAAATTTCCATCGCCAATACAGTGTATAAATAATGGACTAACAATTAGTATGAAAAACGTCAGTCAGCAATTGACTCAGTAATAAATTGTATTTACTGACAAGGTCATTGTTTCGACCATAGAACTTACAAAACCTTAAAAACATGGAAAACTATGCGTCATGAAAATTTAATGTCACAGAAGTTTTTTCCTCAACATTTTTTGCAATAGCTGAAAAATCATTAGAAATATTTTGATGTGTTAAATGCTGATGTGTACTGAAAAAAATTTTAACTGGTTTTAAAAAAATCCTCTGTAAATTTTCTCGTTTACAGTTTATTTCACTTTTACAAAATGCTCCAACTAAATGGCAGTCAGAGATACAAGCAGCTCGTTAGAAAATGGTCATTGGATATGAGTCCGAAGATTATAAGAAGCACAGGGAATTTGAGTCCAATTAAATTTTGATTAATTTAAAAAAAATGAAGTTCTTTCGTTTCAAAAATAGTGCAAACACACATAAGATGTGTACCTGAAGTTTATTAATCTCGTTACTATATTGTTCGTTTCAACCAGGAAGAAAGAGAAATAAATTTTTAACATATTTTATTTACCTTTATTTCTGGTATTTATTTCACCCACATAATTTGGCTGATACATGTTGACCATGAGTCAGACATCAGGTGATAAACACATCCTGAAAACTAACAAAAAAAAATGTATTTAAAATTTCGTGCAGATTTCCAAAATCTAGTGGTACACATGCTTTATGTAACATAAAAAAATGTTACATAAGACACCAATTCATTTTAAATGTAAATATTTAGGAATTTCCTAAGTTGATTTTTAAAACTGAAACCAATGGAAATTCCAATACAAACGCTCACATATATAACAAGGAATTTCGTTGCAAAGCCTGAATTAGTTCGGACTTGTTGAAGAAATGGTAAGCACATTTGTAATTACTTAAATAAAAACATTTCGTCCTCTTAAATCTCATATTATTATGATTAAGTAGAATTTTACCATTTATAGAAGTCAACATATAAACAGTATGTTCCGACTGTTAGTATCAATTTTTTTTTGCAAATCGAAATAAAAATACTTACAGAATTCTAAATGTATTTTAAAGAGTATTTTCCAGCAATAGTAATTTCATGAACACAACATAACGTACTGTTTGAGTAGCTTTTTTTCTAGGAAACATTTTTTAATGATGTCAAAATTTAAGAAAACTGACAGGAGCTTAGATAATTGTAGTCTGTGCTCAAAATCAAAATAATTTTAAATAGTCTAAAACGTTAGTCTTTTATGATTATTGTAAAATCACACATTTTCGTGGGGTCAAATTTTCATGGTTTAAGTAAAAACTCTTGGTTCGTGGGGATTTGAATTCATGGATGAAGAATCGTCGAGTAGGTATGTATGTAACATTTATTATTTTGTGGTGGACATGAATTCGTGGGTTTCTTCATACCTCGAGAACAACGAAAACTAACCTTCTACGAAAATTTGTGATTTCACAGAAATTTTAATTACATTAGAAATTTTTCAAGTATTTAATTGTTTTTTTTTTTTTTTACATATATTGTTCTATATACTTTTAGTTATTTCGAGGAGTAGCAAAGAAGACATTTTCATACGCCGTCGTTCCGCCAACAATATAATCCCTGCTAGATTTTAAATTCAGTTTACCTTTTTTATTACCCATTGTAAATTATACCCCCCGCTTGAGAAAGGGAAGGGTATACTGTGATCGGGATGTCCGTCCGTCTGTCCGTCTGTCCGACCATCCGTCCGACTGTCTGTTACGCTTTTGGGTACCCATCTCTTATCCGCAACTCCTTTCATGTCACAGAATAAAATTTTATGAAACACAGAATCTTTATTACATATTGTCATTGTGCAACTCCTATTTTACCTTCTATCCAACACATATTTTGGATTTTCAATAGCAAAATATGGACTCTGCTATTTAAATACATATGGGAGGCGGGGGTATAATTTAGTAAGCTCATTGCTCACAGCACCTCTAGTTTAAAGTTGTATAATTGTGATGAAGAAAGAAAATATGATCTTTTAAATTCATGAAATCTAAATATATTAGACATATAAGCAAATGTACTTTGAATATTTCATCTAGTCAGAAACCAATCAAGAATCCTTCCTTACTGAAAGCGGTAAGTCATTTTATTAAGATATTTTTGACGATTATTTAAAGGGAAAATTAAACTTCATCTTTATTTACGCAACTTTGGCGGCACTGGTCCACTCTCAGAATTCTGAATCCCATGTTGGCGTAAACCTGAATGTAGACCAAAGTGGTATATTTGAGGTAGGGGCAACATTGGAACACAAAATTCAACATAAGGATACCAGTTCCAGTGTTTCAGTGTCTGCCAGTGTTAACTCTGCAGGCGGCTGGGGTGTCGGATTCAGCTTTAACAAGGAGTTCAAAAGGTCAACTGATGATACTAAGGTAAGTGAAATATCTGCTACGTCTTTTTAATGCTTAATATCTATGTATTTTCCAAAAAGTATCCCTTTTCTTTCTTTTTCAGTTTCGTTAAACTTTATAAATCAGCAGACACATATGTGGATTTTTTGGAAAAGTATGTCTTTCTTCAATGTTAAATTCACTGCGTGCATAAATAAAGTCCTTAATTTTACTTTATGTGTATTTTTGTAAAACAGATCTTTTCTTTGTGCAACAATACTGGCATTTACAACAAGAAAATAGCAATTCATAGCTATAGATATGAACTCTTACAATTATTAGAGTTTCATGGTTATGACATTTCTGACTAATTTGAAATACAGTGAAACCTGTCTAATCCGACATGCACTGGAGACAAATTTTGTGTCGGAATAGGCAGGGTGTGGGATTGCACAGTGATAAAAACATGGGAAGAAGTAAAATGGGAAAGAAATTTAGCGTTGGAATTCACAGTGTGTCGGTTTATTCAGGTGTCGGATTAGACAGTTTTCACTGTATATTCTTTTTTTTTCAAGTTTGAAAAGCATACCGGACGTTACGTCGTTTGGATTCTAGCCAATCAGTGTAACTTCCGCACATATGATCAGAATGGGGACAATCTCATTAGTCTGGACGAGATGAAGGCACTGTTCGTTTATCCAGAATTTGGAATAAAACTTTACAAGGATCTGAATTCTAATAATGGTATATTACCTTTTTTAAGGTTCCATCAACATCTGCACATGACACACATCCCAAAGCTTTTGTTGAACAATTTCGAGATAACAGTTTCTAGAAATACGAATATTCTATAAGCTAGAAGTCTGATGTCCCTAAAGATATATCAATTTAAATACAAATGCACGTTGTGTCAAATATTTGTGGTTTGAGAAAAAAATATTGGTCCGTTGAAAATTGATTTCATGGATAAAGAAGTGCTTTGTCGTAATCTATTAAAAAATTTACATTTCATTGGGAAATAAACATCCTTAAGTTGTCTTAGTTTATGTGTTTTTCAACTAAAAAAAGTAGGACTGAACAGTACCGAATCAAATTCTATGATTGCTAAATTATTAACCTGGCTTAAAATACACAAACATAAATCAATAATCTAGTACACTTTTATATGGTGTCATAAGTAATCAATTTTCCAAAGTTTGTATTTATGAAGGAATACAATGATGGTAAAATATTAAAAACAAATGAAGTCAATTTTTTGGACTTCGTAATGCTTCTTACCATTAATTTATATTAACAACACATGAAGAATATTCGTGAATATATGATCAGTTTCCTTTTCTTATTTTAGGAGAAAGAGGAATAACTGAACACGATTTCAACATGAACACTCCCCACGTGATCAAAGGATGTGACTTCAACAATGCAGTAGCAAATGTTCGTCCGACCATTGAACAAATCAGGCAAAACACCAAACAAATTTGGGATATTATCAGTTCGAAAAACATCACAGAAAGTGGATAAATTAATTCTATTTAGATCATTACATTATTGTCATTTTTGCTAATTGAAATTGGAAATTTTGATTTGTAAGTATTGATCTGTAATGCATTTGCATTCATTTGGTTCTAAAGCATAATGCTTTTAAAAGCATTTAAACTGATCTTCATTGTCTAGATACTGATGAACTTTGAAAAATAAATATATTTTTTTCTCTCCCTTTGTTTTTATTTTTTTGTCCAGTAATTCTGTCAAATAATAATTTG